GAGAAGAAAGAATATATGGATAAATGCTCAGAAGGTAGGGCAAGGACTATTAAAACTCTGAAAGAGCTTGCCTCCGGAACCCCTATGAACCTGGAGAAAGGATGGAAGTTACACAAGCGTTCAGATCTTTTGTTCATAGGGTCACTATGAGTTGCCTATGACTTGATGACACTTAACAACAACAACACAACATCATTTTATAATCCTTGAAAGTCTTACTCCTAACATATTTATAGATAAAAATATTACATCTTTTTATGGACCATCTATATTCATCAAAGCAAAAATCTCAAACTTCATTGCTCAGAAGGCTATTGATAATGAAATATAGAATTTATCATGGCAGGGATTAATTAAACCAGAAAACAAATGTTCTAGCAAAGACATTCTAATTATTTTTTTCTTATTTTTTAAACACTGTTAGTGCCTAAGCAAAATATATCTATAAACAGAATTTACCCAGCAGGAAGTAAACTTAAAAGTCCAGTATAAATTTCTATAGAACAGATTTTTCTTCACTGTCCTCCCTCCACACAGAGAGCCTGGGCTGATGCTCTTATATAGGACGGATCTTAAAGTCTATACTTATTTCCTTGTTATCAAAATTGATAACATTGTGTGCACATATCATGGCTTTTAAAAAAATTGTTTTATAATTGTTTATTTACAAAGTTCATAGAGTTTATATACGTTTGTCTCAACGGACCATTCCACAAATGGTTGAATCTCTAAGATGAATCTTGAGAATAATAAGTTAGTCACAAAAGTTCAAAAGCACTATGATTCCATTTATTTGAAATGAGTAAATACATAAAAATAAAAGAATATTAACTACTATTTAGTGTTACAGGGAAGGGGACGGTGGGGTTTTTCAATTAAGGAGCATTATGCTTATGCAAATTGTAATATGAATGATTGTACAACTTGAGGAACATAATCAATGTAAAAAAATTGTTTATAAAGAAATTGGTAAATTAGTAAGTGATGTGTATTTTTATTCCCCAAAATATACATTAAAAAATATATGTTAAACAATCTTGTTATTGAAAAAAACCTTTCCGTGTTTAAAAAAAAAAGTGTCACTGACTTTATTCAAGAAGTGTTAAGGTTTGAGACATTCACAAACACCAACAAAATGCAAAGAGTCCAAATAAGGTAGGGTGAAACATATCCAACTGATGCCTTACAGATGGTTGTTTTCTGCCAGTACTTTCTATTGGGACTACTCTCATGACACATGTATTCAAATCTGGCAAAAGAAAAGTGTGTATCCTTTCCCAGTTCTAGCTCAGACACTGGAGAACTCAACTTGCTGAGATTCCAGAGATTAGAAAATCCTAGTTTATGCCTACAGAGATACTTACAGCACGTTCCTCCTGTAAAGTTTCCTCATCTTTGTTGTATGTTTCACAAATGTGGGCTTTTGAATACAGAGCAAAGGATATAATAATGCTGAGGAAGTCTCCTTTAGTTTGAATGCAAATGGGCTCTGGACAAAGGTATGAGTTAAGTAACATTGCATTTAGCATTCTTACTGAGTTCCACGTTATCAACTGACTCACTAGTTTTCATCAGAACCTCTAGGACACATGATGCAGTATCTCTTCCCTTCTTGAAAAGCTTTATTTATTACCTTCTCCATAAAGCAGATTCTCTGACAAAAGAAGTAGCTAATGATCAATTTGGCCTCCTGTTATCTTTGGTCTCCCAGTACAATTTTTTTCCATTTGTAATTTAGCCCATATATTAATAAACCAAAAGGAAAAAAATAATTATTGTCCATGGAATATGACTTCTCCCCAAACTGGTTAATTATAAATCTTAGCACTTGACTAAATTCTCAGCGAAGCCTATGAGGATATCCATTTTCATGTGTAAATACTCACGAGGTGCTAACTTAAGTTTGTACTGCGACCTACATTTTTGTAGCTTCCAATGAGTGAATTTAAACCATGAAAATCAGCTTGTAAAAAAGCAGGAAGTTGCTCTGTTATTGGAAAGTAAGCTCTGATAGTGACCTAGCATGATAATGGTCTAGCAAGAGGTCTTCTCATGTCCTTCAACTGTTCTTATAAAATAAAAATGATGCTCTCCTTTAACACTATAGAAATAAGTGCAGCAGAAAAGGGGTTTTCCCTCCATCATTTCTTCCATAATTCATTCATTCTCTCTCCCCCACCTCCCCCCACTGTGGGATTGGTTCTAACTCATGGGGTTGCCATGTATGTCAGAACAGAATGTACTTCATATAGGTTTTGATAGCAGATTTATTATTTTTTTGTGTGTGTGCCCACAGAAATGGATCCCTGGGTCTTTTTTTTCTGAGATGCCTCAGAGTAAATTCAAAAGTTCCAGACTTCTGGCTAGTATCTGAGTGCATTAACTGTTTGCACCATCATGGGGTACAAACCCAACCAGTTCTGCCTCATGGAACTGGTGTTACTTACTCTTCCATGTGTCAGAGTAGAGTTGCACTCCTTTTGGTTTCCAGCGGCTGATTATCAGAAGCATATGATCAAGTTTTCTCTCTGAGATGCCTCTGGGTATAATGGAACTGCATCCTTTCAATTCATAGCCCCACTCAGTAACCATCTGCACTATCAAGAGATACAAGTAGCCATAAGTGAAGCAGCCTATTGACTCCCACTACTGGTATAAATAACAGGCTGCCAATCCAAAGGCATGTGGTTCGAATCCATTAGAGGCTTCATGGGAGAAAGATGGGCAATCTCCCCTTATACAACTTAAAGTTTCTCAAAACTTGCTGGAGAGTCAGTGGTAGGTGAGTTCTGACTCAACAACAAATAGCAGCAACTGGTATAAACCAGCATATGTCCCTTTTAAGAGGGCAAGATACAGAAGACACCTGGAGAAATAAAATCAAGTATAAATTAAATACTTAAGAATCAATTATTTGCCTCATATGTGGACCAGGATTAGGAACTGACAGAAAAGACATAGCAGATATTTTTAGTTATTAAACATATATATGATGACTTTCTGTTTTTAAGTTGAAAAGGAAATTTCAGGTCTACATTCTGCCTTAGTCATCACCACAGGTCAGACTTTCCCTCTGTTGCTCATTATCTCGACATATTTTGAACATTCCTCCTTGAAGCCCAACTGCCCACACTCCTCTCTGATCACAGGCACTCCTGAATAGTTTCTGGATGAACTGAATGAAGGCAGAAGGCCTCTGTAGCACCACAGGAGGATTTCTTCTTCCGAGAAAGTCCCAAGCTGCCATTGTCTTTGCTCAGCCAACTCTGACCCTGTGACTGTTGTCTCTCTTGTCTTAGGTCCGGGCAGAGCATCAGCCGTTGATCTTGTCCCGCCAACTGATACCTGAGCAACTGCTCTTGGGTCTCCTTCCACTTCCCAGTGTTTTGCAGGTACCCTTGCTGAGCAGGAGAGTCTGGACAGCAGGAGTGCCCGTGGGCTGTGATGTTGGCAGTACTGGGAGCACACACAGTGGCCTCTTCTTGGCTGCCACCCTCTTCCTGGGCAACATGGCAGCTAACCTTCCTTCTGGACACTCCATTCAGTGACTGGTGGGGAAGCTGGTTCACCTTGCCCAGCATCACCTTCATCTTCATATCTGAAGAAGTGAGGGGGGATAAAGACATTTAGGTTTTCAACAGCTCATTACACATTTCATGCATGAAATTTACACAATAAAAATGTTCAATGTGTAGTTCTGAAAAGATAGTACTACACAATTGAAGACTGAGTTGTAATACCCAATGTTGTCGTTGTAATGTGCCATTAGGTTGTCTGTAACTCATAGTGACCCTATGTATAACAGCCCTAAACCCTGCTCTATCCTGTGCAATCATACTGTCTCTGACACACCTATCCCCATTACCACAGCCACTGAATCAATCCATCTCATAGAGGGTCTTCCTCTTCTGTGCTGTCTCTCCACCCTCCCAAGCATGACAACCCTCTCCAAGGACTGATCCCTTCTTTCAACATGTCCAAAGTATGTCAGATGAAGCTTCAGAATTCTTGCCTCCAAGGAGCAACCTGTTCTCAACTCTCTCTAGGACAAACCTGTTCATTCCCTAGCAGTCCATGGTATATTCAATACTCTTCTCCAGCACCACAGCTCAAAGACATCAATTCTTCTTCTATAATCCCTAGTTATTGTTCAGCTTTCTGATGCATAGCAAGTAATTACAAAGACTGTAAATTGCCAAATATCTTTGTAAGTACATTTTTTTCTTAATAAGATACAGTATCTGAAGACTATGGTGAAATTTCATACCTAAGGAGCAAAATGCCTTTACCAGTTTTAGTATTTTGGTGATTAATCTAGATGTTTATTAAAACAGATAATTTCTTTCTAGAACCAATGTTTGTTGAGCGTATATTATGTGCCAGATCTTGTTTTACAACAGAGAATACAGAAAGAAACTGTGTATACTCTTATTCCACCCCTAAGAATTACTTCTGAGCATACTTTGGACCTAAAATCGTGTCTTCATCCCAGCTTTCAAAACTCTCTCCCTTCTTTTATTCATCTTGAGAAAATTTTACATCATTCAACTCAGATGAATATATATATGCTTTTATCAAATGATAACCCTTTTTTATAAGTTAAGGAAAATTAAGAACTATTACTATATTAATGATACCCTTACTCATTTATATTCTAATAGGAGTTCTATGAAGTGATAAAACATTAACAATAATTTTACAATAACACATACATAGTTATCCGGAATTACAGCACATCAGGCTCCATTGTCATCTATCATTTAATCTTTGCAACAACTCTGGGGAGTGATATTATCAACCTCCTTTTAGAGGTAGTTCAAATTTTGACACTGAGGCACAGAGGTATTAGGTAACTTCCTCAAGATTATACAGGAAACAGTAAAATATCAAATTCAAAATTTTGGGGACCAGAGTCTGTATCCACACAGTACTGTGGAGTTAAAGATTAAGAAAGGGAATTGAGAAGAATTCATGCTTGTATGTATGCACACATTTGATTGAATACGTATCCAGCAGCTTGCCAGGCATCTGAATGCCATCTTTCAGGTGCCTGGCAGTAGAAAAACATTGAGAACTTCTTCAGGTCACTTAGACGAAGGCCGTAACACCATCATTTACAATTTTCATTCCTGGTGTTCTCCTATTTCACCACTGGAATTATTAATTAACTGCTCTTCTATATTAAATTTGGAAGCAGGAGTAGCATCCACTTCCTAAATAATATGCCTCTGGAAACTCTATGAACTTTGATAAATGTCGATAGTTATAGGGGGGATTCAGACCTTTTGTTCATAGGGTCACTTTGAGTTGTGTTTGATTTGATGACAATCAACAACATATATTAAATGAAGTTTCTAATATATTAACCTGTGTATTACACTCCTTACTCTGTTTATTAAGAACTGTTTTGGCTTTTGTTACACATTCATCTCATCTACATGATATTGCAGAAAACAACACTAGGGAAGAGCATACCAATTTCCTACTTCATTTCAACCTAACAATGAATGGGATGGGAAGTAAAGAAGGGAGACAGTGATGATCTAAACATCATATGCATTTGATGTGGAGTATAAAATGAGATAAAGTCATCATGAGATTTCTGTTGTTTCCACACTCACTAAGCATTCTGTTAAAGCCATGCTTTTCATATTATTTTTCTACTTCTCCACCATAGTTATGCCTAACATGTATCTGCCATGAACATGTAAATTATTTTCCAGCTTACAACTATGAGAGTCTCAGGCTTCCTATGTTCCTTACAGGAGAAGTGACTCCTTCTGGAAGTATTCTCTGATAGCTCACTTGACACTGATTTATGCCTCATTATTTGTGACTTGGGATTTCTCATTTGACCTGTGTAGTAATTTCGTTATTAGTCACATTTTCTTGTGTGACTTTTTTGTTTTCCTCTTAAGACTTTGACTATTTAAGTAAAATAATTTTTTTTTATGCCTCAGCCTTGTCCCCTTGTCCTCTCATTAAGACTAGCCCTATGTCAAACACTGAATTCAGCATCTTCTCCAAAATTATGTAATTTTGGGAACAGGAGTGGCATTCACTTCCTAAACCACATGCCTCTGTAAACTCTATGAACTTGGAGAAATGACAATAGTTAATGGAAAAGCATTCGATCTTTTGTTCATAGAGTCGCTATGAGTTGTGCTCAACTTGACAGCAATCATCAATAACAACAACACAAGGAAAAGGCATACTTTATCAAGAACATCAAATAAGCAAAGACGACCAGTAATAAATTTCCTGGTAGAAGCAATTTAAAAAGGAGGGAATAAAGGCTTATTATCAGTTATATCCCTTGGTAAAACCAATACTACTTCATATACAAGGAATCAAAGACTGTGAGTCACCTATTTTCAATCCATTGAAGAAACTATGGTATCTTTATTTTAAGAGACTGACATTCAAAATCTATTCCTTCTTGTTCTTCAAGTCTACATCTAGTCATTAAAGACTAACAAGGGTTGCGAGCCTTTGCAGACCCAAAACCATTTAAGAATCTCCCCATGAATTATTTACATGGCCGCTCCAATCAGCAACATACCTGACAGACTTCCCAGCAGAAATGAAAGTTCACTGTGTAAAGGTGCCCAGGAAGGCTGGCCACCTCCCACTGTGAGGCTATAGACAGAACTAAGTCAGCACACATTATATGTCAGTGCCGACTTCAGAAAGAATCAGCTCCTTTGATCTGGGACCTCCACAAGAAGCTTAGATCTCAGACAAATTAGATAAAAAATGAATTTATAGTAGATATGTGTCCTAAGGCATTCAGCTGAATGTTTGGGTTTTAGGGGAGGAAAGAGAGAGCATCAAAACATCTGAACTGGCATGCTTCCATTCCACCTCTGTCTGATGAGTCCCCATTAAGATGGAAAAGTGGGATTACAAACTGCCCCTCCCTGTACTTTAGAAGAAGGAGGAATCAAATAACCACAGGTAGGTTTGACCAAATTTTAGGAAGACTGTGGTAAAACATGGAAGCACAGATTTCTTCTTTACAAAAAGGTGAGTTTATTGGTTGCTTTTGGGATTTAGCAACAAACAACCAGCGGTAGTTTTCTATGCTCATTGATGATTGTTGGCCTCAAGTGCTTTCTCAGGAAAAGAATGTGGGCTATGCTGCCACACACACACACACACACACACACACACACACACACACACACACACATTGCCTTTTCCTGGCATCAGGGACATTAACAATGAATCCTGCTGCTTACAACCACACTGTTTCACTGTTAGTACTTTCTCAATCCAGACTCTTTGACCTGCAGTAAGAATTCAACACAACTGCATTTACTATTGACAAGTCAGCATCTACTCATATCTGAGCCTCCACTGGCTTCCAGGGGTGTAAATAGCACTTGTGGAGATGACTCATCTTTCTCTTGTGGAGCCACTGTTGACGGTGAACTATCAGTGAGGTGTGGCCTTTTGACAGCAGCATGACTTCCAATGGAGCAGGCCACCAGAGTCCCATGAATTAAGAACCAGATGACTTGCTTTCACAACTACACCAAAGGACAACTCAGTTGCCCTCCAGCCATTCATGACTCGAGTCATAGGACAGCTGTGCAGAGTTTTTGATGATGATGACCTTTTGGAAGTAGAGTCTCAGACTTTTCTTCTAAGGCACCTCTGGGTGGACTTAAACCATCATTCGTTAGGACAGAAGTTAAGACTTAACCATTTACACTATCTAAGTATCCAAATTCACCTCAGAAAGCTCAATATAATTGCCTGGGCACCTAAGCCTAAATAAGGTATGAAGTAGAGAAGTGGATGTCAGATGATTAAATATAAAGAAAGTTAATCTGCCTTGGTTCCTCATTTGTCACTAGGGGGGATAGCCTTGCCCATATACTGAATATATATAAAATATTAATAACCAGCCTGGTAAAACAGAAAAATAATTCAATAGATTAACACATAACTACAGTGAAGGGCTTAAACAAGGCAGAGACTGGGTAAGGTTCTAATATACGATTCAAAGCAGTCACTGAGAGTCATGGTCAACTCAATAGCATCTAACAACTGATTGTGGCCTGTTTATGTAGATTCTTTTATTCAGTAAATAAACTTTTTCATAGCTTGTTTATTGTTGTTGTTAGGTGACATGGAGTTGAGTATGACCCATAACAATCCTAGGAACAACCCATCTGAAACCTATTCTATCCTGTGCCATCCTCACACTTTCTGACACATTAGAGCCCATTGCAGCAGTCACCACATCAATCCACTTGGCCTAGGGTCATCCTCTCCTTTGTTGACCATCAGTCTTTCCAAACATCACATCCCTCTCCAAGGAATTGCCCCTGAAAGAGACATGCCTGAAGTATGAAAGACAAAGCTTTATCATCTTTGCCTTCAAGGAGCACTCTGGTTACACCTTCCCTAAGATATATCTGTTTGTTCTTTTGACAGTCCATGGATATTAAGTACCCTTTCCCAACACCTTAGTACCTTTCTCCAACACCCTAATTCAAAGGCATCATTTTTTCTGTCTTGGTTATTAATTGTCCAGCTTTCTGAAGCATAGAAAGTGATGGGAACAACCATAGACACCCTAGTCTTCAA